CATTCATCTATTTTCGCAAACAACAGACTGGGAGAAATAATAATCTTGATAAGACAATCCTAGCACTAAATAATGAACTTCGAAAAATACGCACCGAAAATGAATGGAGAGATGATGCGGTTTCACAAGGTATGTAACTTATGATTGAATTTTATCGGGACCCATAATCCTAACTGTCATCTTCATCTATTCTCCACTAGCCGGTTCCAACCGATATTCTTCAACGAGCTATGCTTCCTCCGGGCATCGTTCCATTTATAATGATGATCTCGAAATGTACTGGAACGAGTTCGTAGCTATTTTCGATCAAAAAAGAAAAAGAGGTGGGAGGTCACCTACACAAATGTATAACATATTGTCTGGAGAGATTAGACTTAGCCCCGCCACATTGGCCAGTTTCTATCGTCATCAAAAGGTTCCGAAAGTCACAACAATGGATATACTTATTCCTTGGATCGAAAGAGAAGGAAGGAAAAGGATAGTTAGGTTTGAGGGTAATAATGGTAGCGGTAGTAGAACTAGATTTTCCGATAATAGTGAAAACGAAAATGACAATAATGATAGTGATAATGATAGTAGTAGCAATATCTAAAAATATCAATAAAATTTTCCTCAACTTCAAAAATATTTGTATATTATATGATCGGTAGATCAGCAGATGATATATCACTCGACACATGTGATACGAGTTGACTAATTTTATTCGTCTCTCAGGCTGATAATACTGTATTGCTTTGCTAATCATGGTCATGACAGACGAATATTTCGACTGTAAATCGTCTAAATGGGATATCATAGATTTTTTGAACGAGTCTGACAGAGAGTTATTTGATTTAAAGATAGATTTTTATATCAAAGCTCTCGAAAACATCTTTGACAATGAGAAAGGGTCACGGAAGGAGAGAGCACGAGAGCTTCTTGACAATTATAGAAAGGCAAGTAAATTTTTTTATTGGGAATTTTAAGTGGGAAAAGTGGCGTGACGGGGACTTGTTGGGTCATCGTCATTTAAGGCTGTTGGCTGAGCCACAAAACCAGTGCTAGGGCACAGGTAACTTGCTGGGTTGCCTGATGTTCAAGGTTGCTGGCTGACTTAGCACTGGTCCCATTGGGGCACAGGTAACTTGCTGGGTTGCCTGGTGTTCAAGGTTGCTGGCTGACCTGATGGGATATTAAATGGGAATGTGGATGATAGAATGTAAAATTGCTATTTACTAACGTAAATATTTCATGCTAGGGTGACAGTAAACGAGCTAAGGATTGGAAAACAAAGCGTAAATCAGGCAAAATGAGTGGTGGACCCTTAATCAATATTCAGAATTCGACAGTTTCAGGAAGTGGAACTATCTATGGTGGGACTACCAATGCTGAAACTTCAAATATAGATATGTCTAAAAAAAGATATTACGAAAAGGAAAAGGTACCTATGTGCATCCTTTTTATCTAGTTGAAAATCAGCAAAACTAACCATATTGTATTTATCTTTAGGGCGAGCGTAAAGTTCGAACAAAAAGGACGAAAACAGACTCGAATGTGAACGGGAAAATAAATGAATTTTTTTCCCCAGTTTCTCAACGTGATCAAGATCACGAAAACATGAAAAATAACCACGTTAATGAGGAACCTACCGTTACCTTAAAACCTTTTGTTCCTGAAGAAGAGTTAGAGGAGAATCTCCTACAAGAAAATCCTGGTGCAACTGTCGATTTCAAACTCATTATAGATAACATCTGTATCCGGTCAGAAATGGAGAAATGGCATCAAACATCAAAATACATTGAAGAGATTCATAAACAGGAGTACGTAATTAATTTTCGCATGCTGTTATTATCTGATTATATGCTTTTGATCACTAACTTTATTTTACAGCTTATTGTGCTATAATATTATCGATACAATTAGTTCATCCGGGACAAAAGCACGAGGACTCTTTAAACATCAATGGGATGATATAATTAGCAATATAGAGAAGTTTTTAGTGTCTCCAGATACAACTCCGCTATCTTCAGATTTTGACCCCATTTCAGATTCAGATAATCGAGACATGGAACAAGATGGGCGAGCGAGTAACATCAGTCAATATTTAACAAAAATATTGAAAAATGTAGTAAGTGGATGTTAGTTATCTTTGATTTGCTTTTGGTTCTTTATATTTATGTTTATTTCATCAGAACACCGCAAAAAGATTATGTGATACGATAATGACAGAACGTAAAAATTTACGCGCAGAGGAAAATACGAAATGGAAGAAGAGGTCTCTGGAGTTAGTGAAAATATTGTAAATATCCTGTGTAGTTTCTGTATTGTAATCTGATTTGTGCTAACATTGAATTCATTGAACTTCTGTGTTATCATAGCCGGGAACAGTTCCCAAATGGCAGAAATCTCTTCAAAGAAGAACAAACCGAATACGATTATATTATCAGGTTTGTCTCTCGCGTCTATATAATGTTGTTCAAAGATAGAACACTTTTGAAATGTAACTGGTAAGTTAAAATAGTTTTATGTGTTAGGTGATGGTTTTTTTCATACTCGTTAGTCATTATACATGGTTTATGTTTAAACAGAGGTGAAAAGACCTTGTGTTATTCCGCAATTCTGCTCAACCGTTCATTAAAAGATGATAATAGGAGGTGTTTCGGGAATAAAATAGATGCAATTATGTCAATTTTGGATATTGGATTAGAATTCTCGACCTTGGAAGTCTCTGGAAGTCCATCAAAACTTGATCATACCCACTACGCTGGGGATCGGAATAAAACAGCGAAGATGCTCAAAATCATCTTGAATTATATATACATCAAATACCCAGGCGACTTCGAAAAATTTAGGAAGATAAAAGTGTACGGTGTACAAATATACGGTAAATTTTATGAGCTGAATAGATAAATTTATTACGATGTATACTTATGTTTTTCCATTCATAAATTTTTGTAGACCACAACTTATATGTATATAGTATATGCATGCCATTTGCTGGAATTTACTATTTTAAACTCGAGAAGATGTTCTCCTATCCAACAATTACATTCTTAGTTTTCAAAGAATTTCCAATTTTCGCTTCAAATCTATGGATGTTGCGGGTAAGTGTTTTGCACAAGCTATTTTGTACAACATACAGTGGTAGTGTGGTACTAATGTAATTGATGATTTGATATTAGGGCTTGATAACTTCAAGTTTTAATAGTATAATGACGTACATTACAAGTAATCCTTTGCAAATTGATAATGATAATACCATGATTGCAAATGTAGAAGTCTCACCTCCTCAAAAGAAGAATTATAATTAATTAATCTTGGATGTTAAAAAATTGTCATGTATATTTTTATCTGTAATATAATCATTTGTTTTACGAAGACATATGCTATGAATTAATATACCACTGCAATATTTTTCTTGGCAAAAGTGATCGGCGTGAACAATTGTTCACGCGCACGTGATTTTATTTTTTTCCAAGTACCCTTCGGAGCACATCTGCATCCGACAATTAATATTTCACATAATGTGTGTTGCTGTGAACACTGATATATTTATACGCACCACTTCGTCCCATTCAAAGAATTTACCACGGATCTAGAGTTTTGGTAAAAGGGATGAAATTTCTTCTCTCAATCAAAGATTTCGGGAAACATAAGTTATTTCTTGACTTCTTATGTATATTAGTTTACCACCGACTATGAACAATGTGAATAAACGGGATATAGGCAAAGAAAAGAAATCTATCCCTCCGGGTTTCATCCTAAATCTAACTACAGATAATACCGATTATGTGATTGTCTAAGTTTTAAAAGGAGCAAGTTCCAAAGGAATCGCGTAATACTGCGCCTCATTCTACTGCGCCCTGATGACATGATGTCCCGGCTTGGCAATTAGAAAAACTGTATTTTCTTGCAAGCTGTATTTCAAATATCAGATATATTAATAAAGCATTTATAAAAGTTTTGCCCATATCGGGCTGATAATTTTTAACCAATGTATTTAATTATTCTACATGCATTGACATTTAACAATCACCGCTAAATGTATGCTTCGTAATTATTTTCCCGATCATAATACTGCGCCCTGGTGACATATTGGTGACATGAGTTATGTCAATTAATACGTTTCTTTTTTTTAGCTATACAGAATCTGATTGGCCGATCATCTCGTGATTTATAGATACTTGCTAGCGCCTGAAACACTCCTAGAACTATCGAGGAACTGGCAGGGAGTTAGGGTGATACCTGTGATATGGTATACGTCATATCAGAAACCGATTTAGCCAGGC